AATCGATCCAGTTTTAGCCAACTAGCTGAAACCGGGTCGATTTTGATAATTAATTTAAAAATATATCAGTTTTAACAATTAAGTTTGTAAACATGTTGGTTTTGAAAAAAATTTGTCCATAATAGAAACATAAACTCGAAAAACACAATAAAGATACAAGTCATATAACCTTTTCCTTACGCACGTGCGACGCACGTGCTAAACAAACTAGTCCCTGAATCCCTGAAAACCTCCCTCTCAATTTCCCTCTTCTTAAAAAAAAATGGCTCTTTTAAACCTCCAATTTCTCTCCCAATCCCCATCCGTACCTCTTCAATCTCCCTCCTACTCATTCATCATCTCGTCAACCAGGCGCTCACTCCTCTCTCTCCCCCCTCCAATTTCTCTCACTTCCTCTCGTCCTAGGGTTAGGGTTTCTATTAGTTACCATCAAGAAAAGGGACGAGATGAAATCTTGAAGGGGTCGGAGGATGATTTGGGTGAGGACAGTGAAGTTTTCAAGAAGACACTGAGATTGGTTGAGTGCTCCATGTTCGCATCGGTCGCTGGTCTTGCTTATTTACTGAGCAATTCACTAGCCATTGAGGTTAGCCGTGGCTTTTTATTGATGATTTTGCTTGTTTTCATGAGAAATGAAATGGGTTTTCTTAGTTTTTATCTAGTGCTAGTCTTTGAATTAAAAATTGGTCCTTGAAATTAGTGGGGGTTTCAGTGAGACAATCTAACAAACACCTATTCGTTCTTAATTTTTGGCGCGTTTAGAGTGTTTGTTTGCAGTTCTAGTAACCTTATTTTTGCTTTCAGGGCCATTGTTTTTACCTTTGTCATGAAAATATGCCTCAATATACTGTAGAACTTCATTTTTTTAATGATAAAAATTATGTCCCAGAACTACTTTGGCTGTTTTTTCTCGTTGCCAATAGTGATTTCTTCAATGAGATGGGGCGTAGCAGCTGGTAGAAAAACCATGGTATGTTACTTCCCAAATGTTTTTATTTGGAAGGTTTAATATTGTTAATGATGATGTTATTAAATTCTAGTTTTTTTTGGGTTTAGGTGGCTACTGCTATTTTGCTCCTCACCTTATCTGGTCCAGTAAAGGCATCTACATATCTGGCAAGTATTCTCAGAGTATTCACACATTTTCTTTAGAATTATTTCAAATTTATTTCTGTTAAAATAATAAGGTACTAATGTCTTTTGGTACTTCTCAAATGATATCTGCAGTAAAAATTAGATATTAAAGTGTTATTTCTTTGTTTTGGAGAAAGTACTGTAGGTCAATTTCAGTGCTACATTCCATATTATAAAAGTAGAAAGATATAAATAAATTCAGATGCTAAAGAGCTAATTTTGGGAAAATTAATTGTTGAGACTAGTCTACTATCCTTGCTTTGGGAATCTGACCCTAAATACCTGATTTCTCCTTTGCATGAAATCCTTGTTTAGGTCTTTATCTTTCTTGATCATGTCAAGCAGACAAGCACACTACTTGTTTTAGTTAATAAATTTAGGTAGTCTACTTGTTTATGCGTGCTATGTACATGTATGAAGGATTTGTATTTGCTGATCTGATGAATATATCTGTTTGTATAACTAATAAAATTTTCTATTGCATAGCATGCTTTTTAGATTTTTATTTTTGAGACTGACAATTGATAGAAGAAAATTGAGCATTATCACTATGAATCCTCATGATGTCTGAAGAGACTGTTTGAGACTTTATAGCAATCTATATTTGTGTAGTTTTCTTGTAAAAGGATCAAATTTAAGTTCTATATTTTTCTATTTCTATTTTTTATGAGCAAGACAAGCAACTGGCTACATATGATTCACTTTGCTGCATATAAAGAGAGATGATTGCTGCTTTTAAGTTGTAACTGATTTCTGATGCACACTTTTCTGGCAATTCATCACAAATTTCTGTATTTCTTTATAAATCAAGCATAAACATTGTAGTGTTCAATGAAATAACTCAAATACCATGTCTATCAATTCATCACAAGTACTAGTTCTGCTAAATAAGGCAATAGAGTAAATTAGTATTTGTGAGAAGCACAACATGCATTTGGAACTTTGTAGGCGTGACAGAGATATATCTGAAATGAATAATCAATGTGATATATGGTATTTTGAATGTAACTTTTAACTGTTGTCACCGTTTGCTCGTATTTAGAATTCTATTATTCAATGTCAAGCCCCTAGTCAGTGCCTGCAACTTGAATTAAAGGCTTTGGAGGTGTTAACCAATTTCACCTTTTGCCTCGGTTTTGACTGCAGCTTATGCATGGACTGGTTGGCATGACCATGGGATCGTTATGGAGGTGAGAAATATCATGGTTATCTGTTATGTCCTTCATACTAATGTTATCTTTATGGAGGTGACAAATTAATGTGTTTTTGTCATTTTTTGTTGTCAGGTTGGGTGTAAACTGGGGTCTTTCAGTAGCTATATGCACATTTGTAATACACTTTGTTTTTATTTCGTTTCTCAAATCCTTGCTATTTTCCTTTACATTACTGCATTACTTATGGAAGGGCCTTAAATGTGCAGGTTCGTGCATTGGGAGCCATTGGATATGTTTTAATATCCTCGTTCTTGATAAGGGAAAATATACTAAACCTGGTGAGTTTATTTTCTTTACAGATGGTTTTCCTGTTCTCCTGTAACCGGTGTTCCTGCTAATTCTTGAGTATTTGCAGATCACCATTAATATCCACGCTTCTCTCACCTACATCTTCATGTCCATTGGTGTAAATTCCATTCCTACTATGGATGCCATATACACTATTTTTGGAAGTCTGGTAACTAGCAAAACAATTTTTGCTTGATATCTTTATTGCGTAGATAGTATTTGCAATTTAGTTAATTAATGTAGTCCTCATCTGTTTTTTTTAACAGTTGTTGGTCAACTGCGGGTTCTTCGTATTCTTGCTGCACATTCTCTATGCAGTGTTTCTTACTAAGCTTGGGATGAAGGAATCTTTAACACTTCCTGGATGGCTAAAGAAAGCAATATAATGAGGAGCAGTTTCATGTAATCCCATTTTATTTGAGTTTTATTCAGGGGATTGATAGGAATTTATATACTTGTATCAAATATCATTGTTGTAAGATATCACATTCATCATTAACCACAATAAAGGATAATATTTCCCTGTGCAATTTCTGTGTATTTTAAACAACTAATATAATGCACGTGCTTTATGTAGACATTATTTGTATTTAATATTATATTATTTTAAAAATTATATATAAATATTTTACAAAGTTATTTTATTACACTATGATTAAAAAATTAAGTTATACTAATGCACGTGTTTTGCACGTAGACATTATTTGTATTTAATATTAAATTATTTTAAAAATTATATATAAACATTTTACAAAGTTATTTTATTACACTATGATTAAAAAAAATAAGTTATACTATTATTAACATAAATTTAAGGAAAAATTGCTTCAAGGCTTCAAAACCCAAAAATCATTGTGCCCCAGCCTCTCACATTATTTGTAATGTGCTGCAGGCCCAAAATTTTGAAAAAAAAAATTTGCCCAAGCCCCTCTATCATGACTCCAGGTCATATCAGCTCATGATTAGACAAAGGTCCACCTAAAATTCCAATTTTATCATCTTCTCTTTCTTATGTCAGCTCATGTTAACTGTTATATCTAAGATGTTAACTATTATAGAGCAGATGTTAACTATTATATATAAACTGATAACTATTATTGTTAACATGTTAACTATTATATATAAACTGATAACTATTATAGTTAACATATTAACTATTATATATAAATAACACTTAACATGTTACGTATACAGTTAACATGTTACATAACGCAATCAACATAAATTGTATAGAACCACTGCATTTTACAGTTTAATTTAAAGAAACACAATTCACACAAACTGTTAACTACACATTTTACATTTCACACATTGAGCTCAAAATGAAGACCACTGGCACCCCCTTCTCATCCCCCATTAGCACGTGGGCCGCGTCCAGCATCTTAGGCCAAGCCTCTTGCTGCTCCTCTCCATCAAATGTGCATATGCTCCCTTGCAGCAGGCGCCTACTCGCACCCCCGCGCCCCGCTCCCTCTGCCCATTCTTCTTGGCTACTCTCCAGGATCATTCTCGTGGCAGCCCCCAATGACCCGTTCAGATTGTCATCCAGGCCCATTGCGAAAGTTCCTCGGGCGGAGAAAGGTGGCGTTCTTTGACGAAAGCACGACGGCTTCCATCGAGTACGAAGCATCTATGCGGCGACCTCCTCGGCCTCCTCTCCATCCCACCCGTCACCCCTCGATGTCCGCTTCCACCATCTCGATGTCGTGCAGCCGATTTCCCCGAAGATGAAGCGCGCGATCGGCGTTCAGGTTGCGCTCCCCATCGCCTGAGCTGCTTCAAGGCGGGGTGGATGTCGGCGGCCAGAAGACGGGGGAACGGGAGTCGCGACGCTTGGGAAGCGCTGGCGGCGGAGCGGGGGAAGGGATGTTGGGCGGCGAAACGCTTAGGAAGGCGCCGACGACGGAGCGCGGGGAGGGAGGTGGGGGAGGGGGCAGAGGGGGACCGGAGGAGGAGGAGGGAGGAGTAGGAGAGAGGGCAAAATTTGGATTTTGGAACAAAATGCATTGGAACTTGGGAGAGGTGAGCTGGAGGGGCCTGGACACAATTTTTTTTAAAAAAAAGAGGTGCAGCACATTGGTAAAAGTAAGAGGGGCTGAGGCACAATGATTTTTGGAATTTGGAGCCTTAAAGCATTTTTCCTATAAATAATTAAGAGGGTAAAAAAGGAAATCAAAAGTTTTAACATAAACATTCTCTTTTATTAGTATATATAGATTATTCCTCATCGAGCCACTGGTGAAGAAAGAAAAAAAGTTTCATAAAGTTACGCTTACATAGATTAATACAAAGAACTAATCATTCTTTGACTTGATAAATTTCTTGATTATCCCCATCATCTCGCTCCCTGGAAACCTCCCAAGAACTCCTCTGGCTGCTGCTATCTCACTGAACTCACTAACTTCATCTCCTCCAAATGCTTTATAGAAACTTGTTCTCTCTGATGATACTACCTCTTCGCTTAAATCCTCCCCAGCTTTCACAGAAGGAAGAGGGAAAGTCTCAAGGGATGTTTCCATAAGCTTATCCTCTCCCTTTGCCCTGACAAAATCTTTTAGTTTACACAATGCGAAAGGAACAGGCTCAAAGCTATGATCTCCATATTCTGCCGGTGTTGAGTGGTCACCAGTGACACAGATATAATATTGAAAGTTCCCAGACTTTTCGGCTGGCCAGAGGAGTTTTGCTAGCTGGCCTATGGCTTTATCTACAGCTTCTAAGCCTCGGACCTTTAGTAGGGTTGCCTTGTCATGACCAGCATCATCTATTGCCTGAAGAATATCTCAGTTAGATTGGAAGTAACTCCTTGAGATGTTATGAAGTAAGCAACTTGATACGTTTAACTTGTGGCAATACAAAGTGATACATGATAACTGAATAAGTTAAACAACAAAATGAATTAATATAGTCTGATACGTCTAAATTGTGTGTTCAGAAAATGATCTAATTAGAAGTAGTACTTTTCAGGACAGAAAACATGAACATGAACAGGATCCCTGAAATTGGTTTATGTTATGAGAAGACTATTTAAAGTAAAACATATTGCCAAGCATGATTCCTTAACTTTCAGTTCATTATTCACTCAGAACTTTCTTTATATTCAATCGAAAAAGAGAAGATATGAAGGTTACAGGTTACCACTAATTTGACAATGACTTTGAGCGGGTAGTCAATTCCCAAAGAAAAAGAGGGGGGAAAAGGTAGTCGTCTTCTAATCAGTGGATTTGCTTGGTATCCTGGAAATTCACAGGTCAGCAAAAGCTCTCTCCATTTGTCAGCAAAGATTATAGAGGTTCTGGAAGTGATATAGAAAAATGCAATGAAACTTCAAATGGCTTGAAATACTAATGCTACACGATATCTTCATCTAATGCCCGCAATGAAACTTCAAATGGCTTGAAATACTAATGCTACACGATATCTTCATCTAATGCCCCTTGTCGTCTTTAGTCCAGATAGAAATACTAATGCTACACGATATCTTCATCTAATGCCCCTTGTCGTCTTTAGTCCAGATA